ACACACACACACACACACACACACACACACACACACACACACACACACTGGAATCAGAAAGTGAATCTTTGAATGAAAAGGGAAAGGAAATTTATTTTCTTTGGGGTAAATGCTTTCATGTGTTGTTTTAAACACTTGAAATTATTTTAGCCTTCCTTCTTCCCTTCTCTCCTTCCTTTCTTCCTTCTTTCCTTTTCCTAAAAATAGGTTTCTTCCTTTCATCTTTTTATTATCTTCTTTAAAAAAAAAACACAACTTTTGTCACATGACCTTCTGCTTCTGACCGCACTTCAACCTCCTAAGCACTGAGGAAATTATTGTCTTTTTATAAGTTCCTGACACAGTGGTTTAGAAATGTAACTTGCTTAGTTTTCTGTAAAGATAATGTCACTGTGTTTTGATAAGATGTCTGATTACATCCAGTAATAAGTAGGGAGCCTGGGCTTAGTCTACAGACAGTTCCTGCTTCACTTGTGGACCATGTTTATATCATTTAAAACTGTGTTAATATTTGTCTTTCCTGTTGGAATAGGTTATAATTAAATACGTGCATCAGAATAATTTTAGTCATGTTTAACATAGCATATTCTTTTTCCTCTTCTTAAAAGGTTATTTTTAAACTATTTTCATTATTTTTATATATGTGTCTGCACACACAAGTGCAGGTACCAACATAGGCTCTGGTCTTCTGGAGCTGGAGTTATAGACAGTTGAGGGTCCCCTGACACGGTGCTAGGAACTGAACTAAGGGCCTCCAGAAGAGTAGAATGTGTTCTTAGCCAGTAAGTCATCTCATTAGCTCCTAAAACTTTATTTTATTGTTTTTATTTATGCATATGTGTCTGTATCAATGAATTCCACAAATGTTTGGGAGCCCATGAAGGTCAGAAGAGGGCATCAGAGCCCATGGAGTAGGAGTTATAGATGGTAAAAAGCCATCTGTCAAGAGTGCGGAAACCAAACTCAGCTCCCCTAAAGAACGGTTATGTACTCTTAACCACAAAACCATCTTTCTATCATCTGTAATATATTCTCTTAGTTTGTTTGTTTATTTTTGTTTTGTTTTACTTTTGAGAGAGAGATGGGGATCTTACCATGTAGAACTGTCTGGTCTAAAACTCACAGGCTGGATTCGAACTTAGATTTGGTTACCTCTGCCTCCAAGTGCTCAGACTAAAGAAATGCACTACCACACTTGGCTTCTATAGCATATTCTTAACATATATTGTTTTTATATGCACAAAAGCATCTATAAAATATTAAACTTTTCTTGAAAACTTCAAGAAATTCTAAGCTATCTTCTACTTTCATTCTTTCCATAGGCTTTATCTCATATGTGTTCTTGCCTAGCTTTTCTTGACCCAGTACCTAATGTACTAGATTTAGTAGCATTTAGTAAGTGGCTAAGCATGATGCAATCATCTGGAGTATAAACAGAGACAGTCAGGGAAAGAGAGTTGGAGAGAGAGAGAGAGAGAGAGAGAGAGAGAGAGAGAGAGAGAGAGAG